CCCCCTCCCCTCTCCCCCTCTCCCCTCTCCTCCTTCTCCCCCGGCTTGGCTGCTCTCGGAGCGACCCGGCGTCCTTCATTCCCCCCCCCCCCAGATGCTCCATGATGGCAGCACCAACCGCGGGCATGCAGGACCCATAGGCACCCCCACCCCGCAGGGCAAGGCCCGCGGGCCCCAATTCCCGGCCTTGCTGTGGGAGCTCATCTTGGAGAGAAGTAACTACTGCGCTGGTGAGCAGATGGCGATGGAGGCTCGGCTGGGGTTCTGGACGCACGTGCAGGGCGTTTTCGCCCAGGAGTCCAATCTGACACGCGGTTCGCTCGCCAGAAATGTAGCCCTGCCGCCCCCGGCTCGCGCGGCTACACCACACCCCGGCCCTGGGAATGGTGAGTCGGCTGGTCGCTGCCCCTTCAGTTTTTCTGGGGGCACACACCCCACCCCCTGGCTCAAACCCTTTTGGTGCTTGGAACCCGTCTTATCCCTCTTCCCATCCCAGCGTGGGCCTGATTGGGCTCCCTGGTTAGGCTCACACGAGCGCCTTCCAGGGAGGACGGAGCAGATCGAGGTTTTGGAGGGACTGAGTCATAATGTTAGAGCCCTCCTTTAAAAATCATTCCAGTTTTGCGCAAAGGGGGGTATTTATTTCGAACAGGAACAGAAAGGAGCTTGAGCTCCATCAAGTTTATCCACCTTGAGTAGCAAACCCGGGATGAGGTCTGACCGCCAAGCCGCCTCCTCCCCTGGGCGGGGCCTCGTCCACCCCCTTCACTTAAGCTCCGCCCTGAGCCAGGGAATGGGGAGGAACACCCAGCCTGTCCCCCTCCTCAGCTCCCTGTGAGATGATGGGGTTCTGCCGCTAGGCCTCCAGCCTCTGGAGTGAGGGCACAGCCCTACTCCAAAGAAGGAAGGGGGTCCAGGGTGGGCTCCAAGCCTACAAATCTGCTGAGAGGAAATCCACAAAGGTTTTCCAGCACAGCGATCACCAGCAGGAGAGGCCCTGGAATGCTGGCTCTCAGAGCGGCAGTAGGCTTGAGCCCCCTCCCCTAGAACAGAAGGGTTGGTCCTCAGGCCTAGCTAGCCCCTTTCCAGGTAGGCACAGAGTCAGTACTGGATCATAGACTGTTCCTGTCGTCTTTCCACCTTCCCCCGTGACACCCCACCCCACCTCTGGGTGACACTGCCCTGGGTCCTCAGCCTGCCCTCCACCACACCACCCACAGAGCAGCCCCTAGGCCTGGGCCCCAACTCATGTTAAAGAATGTTCGTATTAACTCCCGAACAGGTGAGAACCAGCCCTCCGCCTTCGCCCCCAGGCCTTCGGGGACACATATACAGCAATAGTGAGGGGCTCAGGGGTGGCTGAATGGAGAGGGGTGCCCAGGCCCTCTCACACCACAAACTTGTTCTTGGCCAGGATGTTGCTTTTAGTAGCTGTGTCTGCATGGGCCTGGTACCCAATGACGGTCTTTGTTGAGAGTCCCAAGCGCCCTTTGTAGACCTGCCTGGGATGGGAATAGGGGGTTAGTGGGAGAGGAAATGAGACGCAGTCAGCAGCAGTCCTGGAGGTAGCCTGGTCCTCTGCCCAGAGCTCCTACCCTGGTGCCAGCCACAGACACTCCAATTTTGTGTGTTTTAGTCATATGGAAACCCAAAATAAGACTAATGCAAAAGAAGCATTCTGCTAGAAGTAGTCTGAAATCTAGGTTCCCAAACCCTTCATACATGTGAGGAAGGCAGAAGGGGTAAAAGGCAGGGAGAGTTCCAGAGGTCCTCCTTGTAGGCCAAGCTTCCCCCCCCCCCATTTCACTCTCTCCCCTAGAAGAGGCCAAGCCCCCACCCCATGCCAGACACCCTCACCCGATGTAGAGCACGCCCGTCTGGTTTTCTGCCTCCCGCGTCCACACTGCGATCTTGTCCCCCTTGGTTCGGATGTTGATGACGGCCCCACACACCTCCTGGCTGTACTCTTCAAAGCTCTCCCCAATGAGGCACAGCAGCTGGGCCCAAAAGGGAGGTGATGAGGCTTCCAGCTGTGGCACAGGGACTGCACCCGCCATCCTTGAGACCACTGCCACCACGGGTACCATACCGGCCCTGCCCCCTCCTTTGGGGGACCCTCCCTACCAGCCCCTCCACTCACTGTCTCCAGCCACAGGCGGTCCAGCTCAGTGTGGCGCTGCTGTTTGGCAAGGCTGACCAGCCAGCGGCCACCCCGCTTATTCCTGGCGTCTTCCCACATGGGCTCGATGCCATCCTGGGAGGCCAGATGGCAAATCAACTGCCTCCCTTTGTTCAAAGGGAAGTGGAGGCCCAGCCACCTCCCCCGGTCCTGCTCCTGCCCCGCAGGAGGTCTCCACAGGCTAGTTTCTGTCATGCCTCCATCCCCTCTGTACGGGCAAGTGCCACCACCAGCCATTCAACCCCCAGAGCCTCCTCTGAGCTCCCCCAGGCTCCAGAGCCCTAACGTGTCATCGTTTACAGCCTTGCCCGTGTGTGTGCCTGTCTCCTTTACTGAACAGAGCTCCCGAAGACAGGAGTTCAAATGGGGGTAACTCACAAAGCCTCTGGGGCAACCCCCGTGTGGGCCATGCCAGACATCCCAAGCTCAGCTGGGCACAAAGTCACCTGGGAAATCTTTAAACACTGACGCCAGGGTCGCACCACACACATCTGCTGGTCGGCAGCTCCAGGGACTGGCCTGGACCTTGGTGAGCAGTGCCCATGACCAATTCTGATGCCTATTCCTAGTTAAGGGACCCAGGCCAGAAACCTGGGCTCCTTCTTTGTATCCCCACTTTCCAGACTCGCCCTTCAAGGTGCAGCGCAGGTCTGCTTTGTCCAGGCTCCTCTACAGTATTTCCTCCTCCTGGCTCTGAGGGAGGCTGTCCCCAGACTCCACCCCCACACCCCCTGTGAGGGAGGAGTGCTGGGGAGAATCTGCCGCCCTGTGCCTGGGGGTGGGGAAGCAGGGCTTACCTTGAACAGGGCATAGTCACAGCCTGAAGAGAGCTTACTGGCCAGCTGGATGTGACTGTAAATCCTAGGAGAGTCCCCGACCCCAGGCTGAAAGTCCAGGCTTTTTAGGGCCTGGTTCCAACTGACCTCAGCCCCTCAACTTCTTACCAGACCCCACACTGCTTTCCACCAACCTTCCAGCCCCCAAGCCTTTGCTCACACTGGCGCTCCGGCCTGGAATTCCATCCTTCCTTACCCGAACCTTCAAACCCCACGTCCTCCCTGGAGCCCCCACCACCACCCACGCCCAGTGCGGGGTTGTGTCTGGTGCCCCTGCCGCCCCCCGGCTGGAGCCCAGGCCTTCTCCCCCAGCCCTAGGGTTATAACAGCTCCTTCCCGGTCCCTCACTTGATTCTCCACAGACACTGAAGCAGCCTAATTCTCGCTTTGTGGTCGAGACAAGCTCAGAGAGGGGACGGAACTTGCTCAGCGTCACAAATCATAAAGCAGCAGAGTCAGGGTCGGCTCCTCGCTTTCTCCCACTTCGCAGGCTTTCTCCCGGAGCCCCAAGAAGGTTTCCCCCGGCCTGTGCCCCCTGAAGAATCCACTGAGCCCCAGCCCTCACACAGGCTGCCAGGCCCCAGGGAGGACTGGGAGAGCTGTGTGGAAAGCAGCCCCCAGAGGGCGGGGGTCTGGGAAGGATCCTGCGCTGAGTCCCCGGGCCCCAGCCTCTTCCATGAAGGGCAGACACTCACGCCCAGAAGTCCTCCGCTGTGTCAAACTTGGTGACCAGCTGCAGGTTATCCTGCCAGGCCCGGCTGCGGTCATTCTTGAAGAACCACAGGGCCCACCTGGAAGCAGAGAGCCCTTGGCTGGCAGGGAAGTCTCACCCTTTCCAGGACAAACTGGGGGACAATATTTGGGGTACAGCCCCCTCCCCCAAGGTGACTGGAGTCAGTTACCCTGGTGGGGCAGAGGGCCAGAGGAGAAGTGGAGGCATTTAACCCAGAATCCCAGTGGGGTTAAGGCTGGAAGGAACACAGGGCCCAAGTCTTAGGCCAGCTCTGACCTTCCCCTTGAGAGAGGAAGGGGCTGTCCAAGGCCGCAGAGCAGGAGCCTGCCCTACCTGTTCTGCAGAAGGTGCAACTCCAGCGTGGCCTCCACTGGGCCCTCACTGCGGGCCTTCCCCCTCAGGGACAGCAGAGTTGAAGGAGAGTTTGGAGCCTCCTCTCTCATTGATGCTCCCGCTGCTGCTGCTGCCTCCCCTTCCTCTTGCTTTTTTTCCTCCTTCTCCCACATTAGGATCTCACCCTCAGCCTCTCTGACCTGACAGAGAAAGGAGTCGGGGTGGGCTGTGAATTCCGGCCCCGGCTGCCCAGGCTGCAGGAGGGGCAGGCAGGTGGG